CCGGGGTGGGCAGCGGGAGAGTGGCTGTGGGAGAGGAGGGGTGGCACCGGCAGTCTGGCCGGGGGGGTGGGGCGGCGGCAGCGGAGGCCCCGCTCAGTCCCTGCTCTCCCCCAGAGGTTTTCCCGCAGCAGATGGAGGGGGTGAAGCTGATCGTCACCAAGACCCTGAGCAGCCACTTCCAGGTCAGGGAGACAGGCAGGGACCCGCGGGGGGGCGAACACCGTGTTGCAGGGGGGCGGGCGCTGCCACCCCCGGGCTGTCCCCCTGTCCCCCGCTGAGGCGTCGTCCCCGCAGGTGACGCACACGGTCCACATGAGCACCCTCGGCCCCTCCAGCTACCACTTCAACGCCACCTTCGTGGGGGACCGGCAGCTCGGCCCCACTGAGGTGAGACCCTGCGCCCTGGGGTGGCCCTGGGACAGTGGGTGGCCCTGGGGTGGCTGAAAGGCTCTGAAATGGCACCAGGATGGGTGGGGGCTACCTGGGGGATGAGGGGGTCCCAGCCTGTGGCTCAAGCCAGGGGATGGGGGTGTCCCTGTCCCCCCAGCTGACCCCCCCCGATCTGTCCCTAGGCCTTTCCCACGCTGGTCGGGGACATGGACAACAGTGGCAGCCTCAACGCCCAAGTGCTGCACCTCGTGGCCGAGCGCATCCGCACCAAAGCTGTCTTCCAGGTAGGGCCGGGTGGGAGAGGACCCCGAGGTCGGGCGGGGGGATGCCGGGGCATCTCCGTCACCCCCAGGTGGTGGCGGGGACCGTGGCAGGACCCGCCATGGTGCCCGTCCCCTTGCAGACACACCAGGCCAAGTTCGTGACGTGGCAGTTCGACAGCGAGTACCGGGGGGATGACTGCACCGCCACCATCACGCTGGGCAACCCCGACCTCCTTGGCGAGTCTGGTGAGCGGGGTGTACCCTCCCCCAGCTGCCGGGCCCGGGGGGGCCGAGCGCTGAGGGCCGTGCTGTCCCCACAGTGATCCTGGTGGCCCACTTCCTCCAGAGCGTCACTTCCCGCCTGGTCCTGGGTGGGGAGATGGTTTACCACCGGCGTCCGGGGGAGGAGGGAGCCATCCTCACGCTGGCGGGCAAATACACGGGTACGCGGGTGCCCCACGCTCGAGAGAGCTGCGGGCGTGGCCCTGGGGGTCCCACCCACTGTGCTGGCCCTGGGGGGATGCCCCGGCTCCCCTCGCCCTCCGCTTTGCTTCTTCTCTTCCAGCTCTGAAGTGGGTGGCAACGCTGAACGTGGGGTACGGTGGTGCCCATGCCAGCTATTACCACCGAGCCAACGAGCAGGTGAGCGTCCCCTGTGTGTCCTCGTCACCTGTGTGTCCCTGTCCCCCCCCAGGGCCTCACGTTTTCTGCCCCCCAGGTGCAGGTCGGGGTGGAGCTGGAGGCCAACACGCGGCTGCAGGACACCACCTTCGCCTTTGGCTACCAGCTTAACCTGCCACAAGCCAACATGGTCTTCAGAGGTGAGCGAGGAGCCACGCTGGCACCTGGCAGCCGCGGCACTGGCAGGGCGCTCACCCTGTTCCCCCCGCAGGGCTCCTGGACAGTAACTGGAGTGTTGGGGGGGTGCTGGAGAAGAAGCTGCCCCCCCTGCCTGTCACCCTCGCTCTGGGCGCCTTCCTCAACCACTGGAAGAACCGTTTCCACTGCGGCTTCAGTGTCATCGTGGGCTGAGGGGCCGCAGAGGCGGGCGGCACGTGCCACCGTCCTGCTCAGGGAGCCGCCGTGCCGTGTCGCGGGGGCGCTGGCTGGGCCCCGCTCTCATGCTGTGGTGCTGGGGGAGCCTGCGGAGGGGGGACCTGGTCCCTCATGGCTGGGGGACACTGTGTGACAGCGCGTGGCGGCTGTTAGCATCTTTGGGCTGAGAAGCAGCTGCTGCTTGGGGCTGGGGGCCTCCGTCGGCCCTGGTGTTTGCCTGTGCCGCCCTCCTTGCCCCAGCGCCGCGCTTCCCTCTGCTCCCACCCCTGCTCTGCCTCAGTTTCCCTCTGGTGGCGCAGGGGGTGGCTCCGGGCCGTGGTGGGGGCTGGAGGTGCTGGCGGTGCCTGTGTGCACGTACGCACGGAGCCTGGAAAAATAAAGGAGCTTTACTCTGCCCTGTAAAGTGCACTGGTAGCTGGTGAGCCCCGGTGCTCAGCCAGGGGCCAGGGGATGGTGTGGGCACCGCCAGCTTGGGCTCTAGCTGATGATTTCAGAGAGCAGCGGTGTCATGGAGGACAGGTCCTGGATGTGGAGGATCTGCCGTGTGTTCTCCACCTTCAGCGTCTGCAGCTCTGTCAAGAGCAGCAGCAGCTTTGCGTAGAGAAACCTGGTTGGGGGGGGAACAGGACAGCCGGCTCAGATCCCATTGCTGTCGCCATGGCGGAGGGGACTGCAGTTGTGCCAACCCCCCCCAGCACATACCTGCCCTCGGGCATGGGGTGCCAGTGGTCGATGTAGCTCTTGAGCGTCAGGGCCACCTTCTCCTGGAACTGGTCGATGAAGTCCCGCTGGGCGATGCTGGCGTGGTCTGGGGGTGCAGGGTGGACAGGCGGCCATCAGCGGGGCCGAGGGGATGCCGTGCCGCCGCGGTCCCCACAGTCCCTACCTGGCGAGAAGAGCAGCATGGCCTGGAGCAGGACGTACTCAGCTTCATGCAGCTGCAGCTTCTTCAGGCTGATGTGGAACTTGAGCAGCGGCTCCAGGTAGATCTGCTGGAAACCAGCTGGGGGGAGCGTGGTGGTGATGGGCAAGCCAGGATGGGGACGTGGCTGTCCCCTGCTTCCCAGTGCTGCCATTCCTCCCCCCCTCACCCAGGGCTCCGTCCTGGATAGTGTAGCAGTGCTGCCCACACTCCCAGGCATTGGTCTCTGTGTTGAAGACTGTGTTGAACTGGATCTGGCAGATCTCCAGCGTGGCCCCTTTCAGCAGTGAGATCTGGTCGTCGATGGGCAAACTCCTGCCGGGGCGGGGGGGATGAGGGGAGGCATCAGGGCCAGGGCAGTGGCAGGGGTCTCCCGCAAGTGCCTCCCCACAGACCTGAAAGCTGGGATCTCCTTGGCGAATTTGATGACCTGCTGGATCATGAAGGTGCTGAGGTCGGCAAAGTGGGGCAGCATGGAGAAGACATCGGGCAGCACATCCTCATCCAGGCAGTCCGGTTGCAGGGATGGTGTCCGTGCGGCAGGGATGCCCGGCTGCGGTGGGCTCTGTGGCCGTGGGCTGGGAACATAGAGGCGTACGGCGGGCTGCGGCGGCGGCAGTTGGGGCGTTAGCACCGTGCTGGGGCACCCGTGGGGACAGTCAGGTCCCGGGGGCCCCACTTACCCAGTAGTGCGTGAACTGGGAGAAGCTGGAGTCGAAGGTGCGCTGGTGGGCCGCGATGAGGATGCCGATGAGCTCCTGCTGCTCCGCTGTCAGCCCCCCCGGCTGCTCCCGTGCCAGCCGCCGCTGCCCCCGCAGTGCCCGCCGCTGCCTCAGCGCTTCCTCTGACATGATCACTGCCGCCATGCCACCACCGTCACCCCCGGCCCGGGGACCGGGTCGCTGGTGGCACAGGCCCCCCATGGCCCCCTGGGTGCTCAGAGGCACCACTGCCCTGTGGTCCCCTCACCCCAAGGGGGTTCCACTTGTCCCCTCTCTCCCACACCCCCCCTGCTGTCACCTTTATGCCACCATCCCTTGCTGTCCCCTTGCCCCTGGGCTGCCCCATCCCCTCTGCCCCCGTGTCCTTCCCTACGACCTCACCCAGGCCTCTCCTCTCTGTCCCATGTCTCCCCGTGTCCCCTCCAGGTCCCCCTCATCCCCTTTCCCCCTTTCGTCCCACTCAGGTCCTCCCTTTCCCCTCTGCTCCACATCCCCCTCTTCCCCTCAGGTCTCCCCTGTATCACCCCATTCCCTCTCCCGCGTGTCCTCCCCGCTGTCCCTGTGCCACTGTGCTCACTGTCCTTCCGCATGCCCACATCGAGGCACTTCTGGAGGCGGCAAGCCTGGCACTGCCGACGCTTGGCCTTGGTGACGGGGCAGCTCTGGGTGAAGGGGCAGGTGAAGTGGACGCCCTTGTTGATGGAGCGCCTGGGGGGACACAGGCACGGGGCCCTGCCGTGAGGCCATGGGGACTGTCACCGTGTCCCCCCGAGGGGGGCAGAGGGGCAGCAAGGGCTGGGGGACAGGATCTCCCAGGGTGGGGGCCACTTCCAGCCCCCAGGACCCTGTCACCGCTGTGCTCCAGAGAAGCAAGGTGGCCTGAGTGGCCGTCCTGTCTTGTCCTACCCAGTCCCTGTCCATGGGACCATCTTCTTCCATCCCACCCCGCTATGTCTTGTCCCATCCTGTTTGACCTATTCTGCCCTGTCCCACCCCATCCTGTCCCATTTAATCCCATCTTGTCCCATCCCACCCTGTCCCATCCCATCCCATTGTGTCCCATTTCAGTCCACCCTGTCCTGCCCCATCCTGTCTTGTCCCCCTCTTCCATCCCATCCCATTTCACCCCACTCTGTCCCATCTCACCCCGTCCCCTGGCTCCCATCCAGTGCCGCAGAGCAGCCATGGGTTCCCCTGCGATGGCAGCCCCCACCTGAAGAAGCCCTTGCAGCCCTCACAGGTCATGACGTGGAAGTGGTAGCCGGTGGCATGGTCCCCACACACAGCACAGACCTTCTCCTCCCCGGGCTCCACATCCTCCCCCTGGGAGCCCCAGGGCTCTGGCAGCAGGCAGGGGCTGCTCTCCATATCCGAGGGGCTCGACACGGACATGGCCAGGGATGCGGGTGACAGCACGCAGACCGGGGGGACCGCAGCGAGGACAGAGCCTGCAGGATGGGGCGGGTGGCAGGGTGTGCGTGTGTGTCTACACACACCACGGCTCCCACTTGAGCAACACCTGGCACACACCCGACACTGGCTCCTGCACCCCATCCCCTTGAAGCCACAGTGTCCCCCACACCCCACAGCGCACGACCCTCGTGCACCCACCTGCCACCACGACCTCCCACCGAACCACCCATGTGATGCCCCCGAAGGTGGCCGGTGCCCATTGGTGCTGGTACCTGGGATCCAGCACCCACTGGTGCGTCTGGTGCCCAGTGGTCGCCACCCCCG